GATTATCGCTCCCGGCCCGGCGCGCGGGGAAGGCGCATTGTGCGCAGCGCGGTGCGGTGCGGCGCTGCGGGGCGGGGCGGCGCCGGGCCCCAAACAATAGCGCGATGGAGCTGCTCGGGCTGCCGGGCGCGGCGCGGCGCGGGGACGCGAGTGAAGCCCCGCGGGCTTCGGGCGCCCGGCCCGGGCCAAGCCGCGCCCCGTCCTTGCCCCGGGGCGGCTCCTGCAGGACAGAGCAGGGCACCCCGGCTCCGGGGGGTCGAAGGGTCGAGCAGGTGCTTTGTGACGTGCCCTGCAGCCCAGCTGCACCCCCAGGACACACCGGGACTCCCCCCAATGTGAAGCGCGAGAGACCCTGTTAAACCTCCGAGATTGCTGCTCTGGGCACACCTGAACCGAGAGGATGATCAGGCTGCTTAACTTAGCAGGGGGTGAAGCATGCTGCAAGCTCTTGCCCCTCTGACAGCCATAGCGGGTACAGGAGGGGGCACGTGCCCCCCTGGCAGCTGACACCCACGCTGATGGCAGGGCTGGTGCCCCCCTAGATTCAGGAGGTCATCGGCAGCTTATGTGGGTGCCCCCCCCAGATTCAGGAGGCACCAGTCACTGATGTGGACAGCCCTGCCGTAGACCATGTGGCCGGTGGGCTCTGGGGTCCCCCATAGGTTAACCCAGGGGTAGGCAACCTCCAGCAAACGTGCCAGACTGTGTGGGGCACACAATGGCATTGTGCTCGGCCTGCGCGCCTCAGGGCAGACAGCAGGGAAGTAGCTGGGGCTGCGCTGCCACAGGGATCAGGCCCCTCACAGCTCCCCCGCCACCTGCCAACATCTGACAGTTGAGGTTGCAGGTGTTTTTGGAGCTCTGCCCAAAACCGCTGCCAACCCTTGATTAACCTAAAGCCCTAGGATCCCTGTTGTGGGGTTGCTCCTCCCATCGCTCTCTTGTTGCTGCTACTGCTCCTGGAGTTTCCAAGCTCTCGTCCCTCCTCCCGCTTGCTGCCTGCCCTGCCCCTGAGTGTGGGCAAGGCAGCAGGGCCCAAGGGGACTGAGGGATCCTGCCGCAGAGAGAGTCAGGGGACTAGAGGTGCTGGCACAGCAAAGCAGGAGGGTCCACCCCATGGCACCATGGATATTTCAAGCTTGCATAATGCACAGCCTTTGGCCCCCAGCCACTCAGGAGTTCGACAGTCTTGCATGGTCTTTAAGGTGCCACCTTGTCCTGCCTTCTCCTTATTTGAGACTAGCACAACTAACTGCTCCTCTCTACTATTAAAAGTTCACTACAAATGAAGGACTTTAAAAAGTCAACTCAAACTTAAAGTAATAAGTTATTATTCATGTGCTTATTAATGCAGCTATACTTAGTGTTCATGTTTACTAGAAATTAATCCTTTTTTGCTACAGTTTGTTTCACATTTTAAACGGGAGAAACCTGAAGAGTGAATCTGGACGAGCAACTGCACTAGTTTCCAAACGCTGATAGAGTGCAGGCTGAAAGAACAGACAGAACTTCAAGAGCCAGTAAATCCTGAGATATATGGTAATACCCTCAAGTAACTCTGCCTCAGTTTCTTTTGCTGTGCAGTGGGGATAATAATATAACAGGATTTTATTTGTAATGCCCAGTCCTTGACACCAGTAGACGCTGGTAGACATTCCATGACTAAAACCCCATAGATGGCTTTGAAAGTGAAGTATTTAGGGATTCTCTCTCATTACCACATCTCCCAGCAACTGATTGTAAAAAAATTAAAGAACCAAGTGCTGTTTATTGTTCTGTACTGCTGCAAAGATGCAAATTTCCTTTGATACCTCTCTTTTGCGAATCAAAGACATCATGAAAGTCAAGGTCAACAAAGATATGGCCCAGAGCTCCATTTAAAATAAAAGAGGGAGACAGTTTGTGGTACACAATTTACTAAACCAGTACTGCCCAACATTTCACAGAATCATAGAAAATTAGGGTTAGAAAGGGCCTCAGGAGGCATAGGCAATGCGTAGGGGGGGCACATGCCCCCCTCCCCCTCGAAATTAGCCCATGCCAGCCCCGAGATTGTGGGGGCACTGAGAGAAATGCTGGTGGCATTTCTGGGTTTGCCAGATTGGCCACTGGGGGGCCCCCCCCCCCCCCAAGTCGGCAATCAGCCGCTGATGCCCTCCCAGGATCAGGAGGCACCAGTCACCCATGTCAGGAGGCCATCTAGTACAATCCCCTACTCAAAGCAGGACCATCCCCAACTATATTATTATTTCATCCCGGTGGGCCAGATGGATGGTGCAGGGCCTGTCTACAGCCCAGACCCATGCACCAGCCCAGCCTTATGCACCTGCATGCAGCCACACATGCTGGCATGATCTGGTGCACATAGCCACATTATCCAACCTGGGGAGCTCCCCACAGACCTCAAAATCTGGCAGCAGGGGAGTAGCAATGAATGCTGCCCCAGCTTTGCTGCTGCCGAATTCTCAGACCTGTGGGAAGCCCAGCAGGCTGGATGACAAAGCTGTGCAAGCTGAAAGTGGTTCATGGCCTGGGTCTGTTCAGTCTTTTCTTTCTAAAACTAAAAGCCACAATGAGGTTTCTCCACAAAAATCTTAAACTTTATGAAGTTTAAGACAGTTTAGACTAAAGCTAGTTTACATAGGCCAAGCATGACCTAAAAACTCACTCACTTTTCCTGATGTAAAACTAGTCAGGTTATAGCCAGAAGCCTAGGCTATAATCCCCCCCACCCTAAATGTTACTCTGCAGCTTCATTAGGAAAAAAGTGCTTTTGTACAGGTCAGAATTATGTACAAGATAAACTCAGCCTTTTTCATAAACTAGACAGACTTAGATCCAAATCTGTTTCATTCAGACATGAAAAAAAGAAATGTGTTGGGGG